CAGGTAGATAATAACTCACTGATTTGAAGTCTCAAACTAATGGCTTAATGATAACTTAATATGTTAATGAGGATTAAACACACTTTACTTTATTTTCTTTCAAAATTACAAAGTCACTCATAAGATACATAAGAGCTCAGTAGTGAACTAGGTTTGATTTAAAATTACTTAATGAGGCTTAGAAAATAAACAAAGTGATCATAAACATCGGTGAAACACTGCGAGCTCAAGTTCAATTGAAAAGAGATGAAAGGTTCATTAATAACTAAGTTTAACCCGAAGGTTTCTTACTTTTATAATTCATCAACGTAACATCAAAATGAATGATTAGTTACCGCTACTCATAGGTTAATTTACACACTAAGGTTTACTAAACACAAATTAAAACACCACAAATAAATCTTAACTTAACCAGAGTCGATTAATTCAATGACATAATATACTTAGGTGAACTCGAAATGATCCAGAAACTTCTAAAGTGGTTTAGGGTATGCCCCTAACCCCTTTGCAAGATTCTAGACATTTTTAAGGATGTCTGAATTTATTATAGTTTCTTTAAGAAAATCATCCGCTAAAACTTATAGGGATCCACCAAGATATGATTCGAGACCCGTTAATTCACCAATTCTAATAAAATACCATACACTGCTTATCCTACATTTAAACCAAATGCTCAAGAGTTTTAGTCTTGAATAAGGTTTTCGAATCCTTGTGAGCAACTGAGGATATTTGTTTATGCCACATATGGGTCATCGGGCTAGTGTGAGCTAGAGGACTCGGTGGCAAGGGCGATGATGACATCACTTATGTGTGTTAAACGAGGATACGAAGGATGCAGAGTGGGATTTGGAATAGTGTCTTTTACCTCAAGGATCCTTCGAGAAAGGAATATGATCGATGACGTTATTCACTAAATCCCCTAGTTTGATTAGAGTGATTAACTCGTGGACTATAGTTTTTTACAAAATATATATAAGATTGCAAACTCAACAAAAAAATCCTTTTTGTGACGTGTTTTTTTTTATTATTAAATAAACCTATTTGCTAAAAAACTAAAAGATTTTTTTATGAAATCTTATAAAGCTCCATAGATTAATCACTTAGATCAAGGTTAGGAGTTGCCCTTCCTGGAACTGTCAGGTTGGTGGCTTTTATCGGTGTTTGATAATAAAACACACAACCCAACTCTGAGCCCCCACCTTCACTAATGTCTTACACTTAGTCCCGGTCTTTTATATGCGACTATGAGTTTATTTTACTTGCTTATATTTTCCTATGATTTGTTTTATGACTTCTTTGTATTAAATTTTCTTGCTTTTCTTGCTTTCTTTTTTCTCGCAGTTTACTTAAATTTTCTACAATTATATTATATTTTATGATACTAACCATACAACGACAGTAGAGGCCTAGGTACATATTGACAGTTTATTTGCTACGGTCTTTACTACTTTGCTCTACTATCTCTTTACTTTACCATGTACACTTTACTTACAAAAAAAACAACAAAAATACACTTTCAAAAATTTTAACACACTTTTAAACTTTCTGAACGCACTGGGATCTCTCGGATGAGATAACCTATAGCTGCTAACAAAAATTCTCTGGTCTAAATAAGCTTAACCGCTTGTTTAGACTAAGTAATTTTAAGAGAAAATAGTGGCGTCGAGACGACAAAACTGTGGGATATTGACCGGTGTTGCTTAATTTAAATTATGACCCCCCCCAAATATTCAAACAACAATGACAAATAAAATCAAAATATAATGATTCATAACACACATAAACATTGAAGTTGTACATCTGACAATAACCAGTTGGAATATGTTCCTCAATAAGTGCTCTTGACCCATAACAGGTACATACACCTGATTGTCTTGTTATGGGTAGTCTACGTAGATACTTCTTTCACGAATATTGGTTTACGATGCCTCAGTTTGGTCTTTTTTGGGTCGACATACTTAACATATCCTTGAGAGGTTTATCACATGTAGGCTCTCGACGTTATGTTTTTTTCTCGTGTTTGTCGTCATTATTGTATGTACTTTCTTATTCGGTTCATCTCCTCTTCTAATCACTTATATGATTTGTGACGGAGAATTATTCAAATAAGGGAAATATATGACCATCAACCGACTATCGACAAGCTGACAACTCCTTCTAAAATAAAAAAAAAAAGAAAAATAAATGGAAATAGGGACCTCCTACTTATAGATGGATAGGAGGGCCAAAAATAAATTACAACATTACCCTTGCTTTAAAGGGGTTAGTACAGATCTTTCTGTATATTCTTATCTTCTTATCTACACCATTGGATTGTCTTGAGATTCATGCAAATTATTTTTTAGTATACAATACACAACAACAAGCTTTTATCCCACTGAGTGAGGTCGACTACATGAATCCTTTTTCTCCATTGCATCCTATTGAGTGTGATATGTTCATTTAGTTCTAACAAATTAAGATCATTTTTTGTACAATATGCCCAAGTCTTTCCAGTTCTACCTCTGCCTTTCTTAACATACGCCAAATCTAACCTAATCGGATCATCAGAGGGTCGCCGTTTAATGTGACCAAACCATCTAAGACGACTCTCTCTAATTTTGTTCATCACTAGAGCTATAACAACCCTATCACGAATATATTCATTCCGCATTTTATCTCTAAGTGAAAAGCCACTCATCTACCTAATCATTCTTATCTTGACAACACTTAACTTATTTTTATGCATCTCTTTTAAAGGCCAAAATTCTGTGTCATAGAACATTGCAAGTCTCACCACCATCTTATTAAATTTTCCTTTAAGTCTAAGAAATATTTTTCTATCACACGATAGACCCAATGCATTCCTCCACTTCAACAAACCAACTTGAATTCTACTAATAACAGCCCCATCTATATCACTCGCACTCTGAACAATAGACCCAAGGTATCTAAAGTGTTCACATCTTTCAATAATTTGGTCAACCATGATTACAACTATGTCACTAAAGCTATTACTACTAAAATTACATTCCATGTATTCAATTTTAGTTATACTCAAACGAAAGCCTTTAGACGAAAGCCTTTAGACTCCAAGCCTTTAGACTCCAAAGTATACTTTAATAATTCAAGTATTTCCTAAGTTATTTCTCTAACCTTATCCAGAAGAAGGACGTCATCAGCAAAAGGCATACACCAAGGTATATCCTCCTGTAAATTTCCAGTAAGAGCATCCATAACTAAAGCAAAAAGATATGGCCTTAAAGCTGATCCCTGATGTGATCCAACTGAAATAGAAAAATACTTGGTCAATCCCCTTCTGTTCAAACTATTTCTAGCATACATATCTTTAATGACTTCAATACAAGACAAATGAATACCTTTCTTCTCTAGAACTCTCCAAAGGATATCTCTTGGAACCTTGCCCTAAGCTTTTTCTAAATCAATAAAAATCATATGTATATTCTCCTTCTCCATCAGACCTCTCAACAAATGTATAGCTTCCATAGTCGACCCGCTCAACGTAAATCCAAATTGATTATAAGAAATCTTTGTAATCCGTCTTAACTTATATTCAACCTATGTTCAAAAATGATTATAAGAAACTAATTATAAGAAATGTCTTTAAAATTTTTTTATTATAAAATAGGATATCAAATAGTCAAAAAAATGTCTTTATTTCATGTCAAACATAAGCAAAACAAAATAACAAACATGAACAAAAAATAATTAAAAACAGTGATCCCAAATAATCTATTCAACTTCACAAGCAAACACCACTTTACCATGCATTTGATTCTTCGAAAATATATTTTGAAATTACAAAATATGAATCTTACATTTCAAAACTCGAAGCTGGTGCAGGGAATTGTTTAATGGCTATTTAATCTCTGGACTCTAACCTTTTACATGGCTTGATATGACTCAAAAGTGGCATACTCGTAATAACGAGGAAGTTTAATGAAATTACAAAGGCAGCGGCAACAATGTTAAAATCATGAATATATATATATATATATATAAATAAGAGCGCTTTCAAATAAGGACACTTTGTTTTTATTTTCTTAACCTCCCATTTTCTAGTTTTTACAAAAAACAGACATTTACATACAGTGTTGACTTGATTATACTAAACCAAAAAAATATTACATCAGGACTCCGCACGTAGAGCTACGCGCGGAGTACA